TATAGGTGATTGTTGATGCAGAATGTACTCATGACGGATCTATCATGCATATTCTTAAAGTGAGTTTCATTAATAATATCATATAATTCATGCATATATTGTAATATAATCTATTGTTTACTGTAGTACGAGAAGTACGGATGGGATAAATTTGAAAAGAATTTTTTAAACTCTGATCGAATAAATAGTCTCTGGGATCTTCAAGTCAGTTTATTATCATTAACATCATTTCATCATCATTATTTCATCATCATTATTAATTATTATATGATTTTTAACTAATCATTACAAATTTTCATATTTAATATATCATTAGCGAAATCTTTTAAAAAATGGATGGACATTGTTAAAGCCTGGTGGAATTCTTGTATATAGCACATGTAGTCTTTCTCATAAACAAAATGAAGATGTTATCGGATGGTTTCTTTCTCATTACCCTAATTCCAAATTAGAACCGATCCCAAATATAAACCATATGACGGTAGCACCTTTAAAAGAGAGTATATATTCACAGGTTGACATATCGAACGCTGTTAGGTTTGATCCGATTTATTCTAATACTTCTGGTTTCTTTGTAGCTAGAATTAGAAAAAAATTATCGCATGAAAATTAACATATATTCACATTTAAACGTAATACATATCTAATATAGATAGATAGATAGATAGATGAATCATACTAATTGATTAATAATTGTCCAGTAAATGGTCATCAATGTCACGTGATGTTTGCTAAAATGCTTAGTATCGGGTATTGCAGGGTTGGGTCCAATTATTTTTGTCTGAATTGGACATATAAAAATTTATGTCCAATTGTCCAATCACGCAATTTTTATATGTCCAATTTTTGTCCAAGTCCAACCATGCAGTATTGTAGCGGTGGCAAGAAACCTTCAACGGGTTATAAACATGAGTTCTACGTTAAATTATATAATAAGCTGCTCGTTCCTAATTTAATTAATTTATGTTAACAGACAGTTCGATCTGGTCTGGTCTGGTCTCAAGACTAAATTCAGACCATTATACCTAATTATTTGATAATTGGTCTATCAAATCTGACGGTGGTATTAACAGCTCTAATATTACTGCTCGCTCCTAATTTATCCGCACTTGGGGCAAGTAAACAAAATTATAAATTGCCTCAATTGGCACTAATTTTTTTTTTTTTCCGAGTTTGGCAAATTTTCCAGGCTACTTTTTTTGCCTTTCTTTCTTCACCATATTGCGAAAAAATGTCTACTAATTTTTGATAATTGGTCTATCTGATTTGATACTTAATAGTCCATCTGATCTGATACTTGACAGTTAATAGATCGCGGTCCAGACCATAAATTAACGGTCACGTGATGTCTGTCTGTTCGCCTCCGTGATAATGATAAGTCAGTGCTGAAAGTTACCCCTGTAAAAGTAGTCACATGTGATAACAAAACTTTTAAGCAATTTCTCAAGAGGATAAATAAAGCCTTAGCGTTAGATTATCTTACAAAAAATTGGTACATTTGAATTTTTATCGTTATCCTAAAAAACCGTTTAGTCGAATAAATGAATATCTGTTATTTTAAGTTTTAGAGGTTCCAGATGATACATATTTACCCACGGTTTAATCATTATTCTTGACTTTTCACAGATATAATAATATAATTAATGAGTTGCAAGGTAGAGGTTGTACCCGTTTATCTGACAACCCGGAGCTTAAATTTTTAGGCTGGTACAACCTATAATTGCAAGGACTGTTATGCCACAAATATTACGTAATATTTCAGTCAAAGATAATCCATAAAAGGATTGGAAATATAAAAAAGAACACGGGTAGTACGTATGACTGTCAAGTAAATAAATAAATAAATAAAATAAGTTGAATCGCTATCGCTAGATACAAAACATTTATTATTAACTTCGAATTATGCCAATTTTACGAATTTCTAATTTATTTAAAACTTGCACAATTTTAATAATATGTTATATGATAATTTTTTGTTTAATAAATCGACTAAAAAACACCACTTCATTAATACATCAATCCTATTATGGAGAGAAATTTTTAACATTTCTTCCACATAGTGGATTTAACAATCAACTTATCTCTTTAAGAAATGCTATAATGTTATCATATATTACAAACAGGACTTTAATAATGCCATCTGTAATAATTGACAAGAAAATTACTTATAGCAGGTTCGGCGGTCTTTATCGTAAACTTAATAATGCTAGTGCTATAAAGAGAGCTAGATCATCATGTTCACATCAAAACTATACAACAACCGATATTAAAAATTTTTGTCATGAATATTATAAAGATTATGATAATTTTTCAATGATTTATTGGGATGATTTATTGGATTTTACATTTATAAGAAATCATATTAGAGTTATTAATCGTGGTCATGATTTTAATCTTGAAACTTTAAAAAATCTATTTGGAAAAAATATTTATTATTTTAAAGAAACAAAACGTTATGGATTTCAATATTTTGATATGATTAATACTACTAGATCATTAGGTAATAAATTTGATGATAAATTTTTTATTTCTGAATTTCAATCTAGAAATGAAAAATTATTACATTTTGGATCATTACATGGGTCTTCAAGGATAATCTTAGATGACAACAAAAATAAAGATTTTTTGAATAAAGTAAAGAAGAATTTAAAATTTAATCATCCAAAATTGATACTTTGTATTAAAAGAATTATCAAAGAATTAGGAGGTTTAAAAAATTATATTGGTGTTCATATAAGAACCGGTGAGACAACCATTGATGATAAAATGTTTAGAGATATATTTAATAATACAACTGATACAATATTTGAACAAGTAAATTATTACTTTTTAAATGGAAAATTTGATAATATGAAATGTTTAGAATCAAAACGTCCCGTAATTTATTTAGCAACAGATGCAAAAAATCCTAGACAAACTTTTAGAAATTTCTATTCAACATTTGAACCTTGTATTTTTTCGATGTCGAATTTTGAGCATCATTTGAATATTATAAATAATTTAACGACGACTTATGATAATTATAATTTAAAAAATTTTTTTATACCTTTGGTGGATTTATTGGTTATTTCCGGTGGTGGATACTTTGTTGGAACTAATCTGAGTACTTTCTCGAAAGTGGCTAAAGAAATTCATACCTTTCAGATAACATAATTATTATTGAATAGGTTATTTACTAGATACTATAATTTTTCTATCTATTTTATTAATGTTTAATATTTAGTTAAATGCAACATAGCCTGTTATTTTTAACGTGGTTAATTTTAAAGATTAAAAAATAGCTACGTAGTGTGTAACTTTTTAGTTTATATAAAAATTATCTTTAATATTGTTCATTACCTCGCGAGTTTATTTTAGGGGAATTTACAAATAAGGGCCCAAAAATGTAAAATAATTACATATAGGGGCTCAATTTTAGCAGATTTTACTTTATTTCATGATACAGTAAACGAAATTTAACGATTTTGATACCATTCGAATCGTCTAATCAAGATGGATTGAATGATACTAAACTCGCTAAATTTTAATGACGGGATAACAAGATATTACGATTTAAATAGACTTTAGAAAATGTTAAATAACTCGCAATCCAGTAATTAAAATTTGGCGTCTCAATGAGACGATTCGTATGGTATCAAAATCGTTAAATTTCGTTTACGGTATCATGAGATATAGTAAAATCTGTTAAAATAGGGCCCCTATATGTGATTATTTTACATTTTTAGGCAAATTCCCCTTTATTTTATTGCCCACAAAAACATTACGTATACAGAATATATTAAAATAACAAGTTAAAAAGTTTATAAGTTATCTAAATATTTTATCTATTAATATTATTTTAAAGTATACTTTTAAATATATATATATAAATTGTTTCGTAATTCGATATATCAAGGTTTTATAATTAAATTCGTTATTTCAACCAAAAAATTCTATCTAAAAAAATAACAGTTTTCAGTTTATTGAGGTTCGTTATATCGAGGTTATATCAACAGCGTAGATAATAAATCATCAATCAAATAACAATATCCTGAATTTACCCCTTAATGACAACTTTGTCGACTAAGCTGACAACTTAGTCGTCGATCGTTATACAAGTCGGCTAACAACATTATTGTTGCTATTGTTGATCGAGCTTAACAAAATCAAATTTCTTATACATTTTATTATTGATCGAATACCATGGTAGTTAAATAATTCAAGTCAAGTCATTAACTTGAGGTCAAATCATTAACTGAGTCAATCATTTGTAATAAAGAATTGAAAAATATAAATATAGAGTTTCATATCGTTATTTTTGTTGTGTTTTTTTTTTTCATTAGAATCAAAGGCATATTAACACACAAAAATATGTTTTTATCCGTATTTCTCATACTGGGCATAATTTTTGCAATGTCGTTATTGTCATTAGCATGTTCAGAGTTGAAACGAAGGTCCAATTCACAAAGGACCACTTGTTATTCACGCAAGGCGGAAGAATTATTGAGAAATATAGGAAAGAAAATCAATAAAGCTATACCTTTTTTTATAATATTATTTTTGATCAATACTATAATATTTATAATGTGGTTATTATTACCTCAATCTTTTATGCAAAAATACTTTGTTCACCATCCGCAGTCCGGTTACATGTTTACATTATTGACTTCAATTTTCAGTCATGAATCAGCCTGGCATTACTGTCTTAACATGCTGGGTTTATGTTTCTTCGGTGGAATAGTCTACAGTACTTTTGGTAGAGAACAGTTTCTTGCGTTTTATCTCAGTTCAGGAGTAATTTCTTCATATGTAAATCATATATTATCGCTTATGCTTAAAAATCAAGAAGACATTAAAGGTTCATTTGGAGCTTCGAGTACTGTTTACGCATGTTTAGGCGCATTTTTCGGTCTATTCTGGAATTATGAGGCTTCATTAACTATAAAATTCAAATATTCATTTCCAGTGCTTGATTTATATGGTGCAATAGTTGGATTAGGTGTTCTCTATCCACTCATTCTCTTTGATGAAGAATATTTTGTAAGTGCGAGGTTCATTTATGATTTTTTTTTGTGCCTTTTCATTTTAAATATCTAGAATACTTTTTTATCCAAAACTAAAATATATCAAATTATCACTTTCAATTATAGGCGCGTTTTGTCGGCGCGATGTTTGGTCTGTTATATGTAAAATACGGAAGGGACCAATACCAAAAATTTGAAGAAACTATAAAAACTTCGTGACTTTGATAATATCGACTTCACAAAATAACATATCTAATAGAGTATTTGTAAGTAAACCAGTCATTCCAGAAAAAATGTTGTGATCACATGAATCTAGCAAATCAACTACAAGTTTATGTAAAAATAAATTTGCCAGTAACATAAATTTTGCTTAAAATTTTAGTATGCATTTAAATTGAATCTATTAGAAGGTTTTATTGAAGCATGTAATCTACTCTATATTGAGATAATTGTTTAAGAACCCTGCATTTTGTGCCAGGTAGGGATGATATGTGCGACGACTAGAGTTCCACGTAGGCTTAAATGGATAGTTGTAAGCATAGTTGTTAAGTGAAAACGTTTTACATAAAGTAGCGAATTACAAATCTCGAAAAAAGACTAGGTAATCTCAGTAAAAAGATGACCTCTGAAGAAGATAAAACCTTAATGACAAACGAAACCTTAAGAAAGATAAAAGGTGTGCAAGTTACCAAATAAAACATTTTCTGTGATTTCGTGATATAATACTTTTTTAGATCAATATGCTATACTATGAATTAATTATGTAAGGAAAAATAAAATTTTATTAATAGGCGATAAAATGATCTACAAATTTCTGATTTAAAAAATTTTCAAAATAAGAAGCACATCTAATGCAAGGCCGTCTTTTAGACAAGTTTTACCAATTTTAATAGACTTTAGACAGGTTTTGAACATATTAAAAGCAGTCTAAAAACTTGTCTAAAAGCTGTCTAATTGATAGCTTTACCCTAATGCATTTCTTTAGTGTTTTTTCAGGGGGTTTTAAACATGTAACTTATCAAAAATTATACACTTTAATATTATTATAGAAATTAGTGTTCTTAAATTATAAAAGTGATTTTGTACGCATCAATCGATTATGAGAATTATTATGCTCTGATAGTAGTACCGGTATTAGAGTAAATATGAGGTAATAGATTATATAATTTGTAGGTGGAAATTATAAAAAGATAACTTTGTAAACATAATTTCAACCTTTAAACTTGCATTAAACACCCATTGTATTATACTATACTTTTAATATGATTTTGGTTTAATTTGGTAGATCATGAAGAAAGATTAATTCACCCAGCTTGAGATGACGAACTCTCAGAAGAGAGTATAAATCCCGGATGAAGTTAATTTATGATTTACAGAAAATTAAATGTATATAAATCAGTTAATTCCTCACACATATATGATAAGATTTAATATTATTACGGTGTAAAAGTGATGGTCCCGGAAAATAAAGATCAGAACTACGCCGAAAGCGCCCCCATCCAAATAACCTCCAAGAATTGCGCAAGGCACATCTCTAGTCGTAAGCCGAGCTGAGCCAGCACTATTCGTTTCTCAAATCTGTTTGGGATCTGTTTCGAACCATGATAACTACTTAATTAAATTTGACTGATTATTGTATACAAAGTCATTCGATGTAATTATTTTTATTTTTTATGTTCGGAGTGTAGCGGAGGAATTTGCAGTGGTCATTGATCGGATTTGTGTTTATGCCCGCACCTCTCATTAACCAATATATCAGTTTATCAGACATTTAATAGTGCCTGTTTCCAAGTTTATTTTATTATTATTGTTATGATTAGTGATGGGACTACAGATGCTAAAAATAGGTGATACATTCAAATAATTCAAAATTTTTTTAATAGATCACGGCATGTGACAATTGAATTTTTAGCACCTGTAGTCCCATCACTAGTTATGATGATTTGTTTGTAGCTTGCATGATTGCATTACAAAACATGATATCTTATTATAGTAGACAAATGTGCATAAACTGTTTATTTTCGTTATGAGCTACAAAACCCCGGACTTAAACTGTTAATGCATTCCTATCTACGATTTGTATATGACATATATGGAATATCATTGTTGTTCACATTGTTCTAACGTACCAATTACTTAAAGCAAATCGTATGTACATACATGGTTTGTCGACATATTACGAATTATCATTGTAAAAATATCTTATCTTTTAACATTTGGCTGGTAGAGAGAGATGTTAATAGTCTTGCCTATTTGGTCTGGCTTCAGTCTGGCCTGTCATAGTCTTTAGTTCTAAACCAGTTCTATAACAGACTTGATCTCACAATTGAAGTAGACTCTTGATTATCAGTTCAGAAAACTAAGCCTAGATAGAACGAATCAGCTTATCTTTGTTCTGGATTGGTTCTATGACAAAACTGCAGTCCCATCACGATCAGTCTAAAATGGATTGTTAACATATTATAGCTTAGCAAGCGAGCAAATTATTAATGATCTATCCGAAAAGGGCAAGCACACGTGTAGCAGCTTTGGTATATATGTTATCACCTTTTTAAGGTAAATTTTGGTGATAGGTTTCCGGTATAAACGTAGCGGCTGTAAATTTGATGCATAATTATAAACATTAATTTAAAATGAAATATAACATAAAAGGCAAAAAGTATGAATAATAAATCTTCATTACGTAGAATCACGTAATGTACATTATTAATAACAAATTATCAAATGTTTTGGGGTTGTTTAACGTTAATATCAATATTTTTTAAATTTCAAGGCCAAGAATAATAAACATTTTAATGTTAGTGATACATTTCATTGTTTGTATACTTTCGGTTGTTTTAATTATTGGTGCAAATTTTTTGAATTTGAAATTATTATAATTTTATATTTAACAACTTAATTCACGAAACAATGGGTTTTAATACATATTTTTTTTCATCCTTAATATTAATACCAATCATCAAGCGGGTTATATGACCAAGATTAAACCAATTATCAATGGTGTAAAAGATAATTATGTACTATCGATCGCGTTTCAAGTGAGAAAAGTTCTAGCATTTAGAATGCAAAATTTATATAAAAGCTCTTAAATTGCGACGCCATTTTTTTGCTTATTCAACCATTTTTAAACATTTTTTTAATAATGAACGAAAACCAAATTATCGATCTAAATAATACCGCTAACCATTTAATCGAAGGCATGGAATCGCTTACTGAGCAAAATGAAGAAAACCAAATAATTTATGATGTCCCTCCCGGATATACCGACCTTTCGGCATCAATTCTCTTGGGATCTTCTTTCCCGTAAAAAATTCAAAATTTCATTGCATCGTAGGCCTTTGGAAATTATTTTACACCTAATTTTAGATGCATTTACTTATGAGACATTATATTAAGAATTTTACTTGTCATTATACTATTAACAAGATTTCCGACAAAATCATAACATGAATATTCTTTACTCTAATAAGATATTATTTAATTTTATAATATTTATTTATTATTATTATTATTATTATTATTTTAATATAAATTTAATAAGTACTATTTCATATCTGATATCATAATAATTATGTTTTTAAATTTCGATCCACGTATATGTGTACAAACACATTATTTTTTATACATTTAACGGTAATATAGCGTCATAGCCATTTATTAATTTATATATTTAATTTTTAATTGCTACTATTTTGGCTTTATTCATTTAAAAAATCTTGTAATATTCTACAAAAATATCCAAACAATAAGACAATTACGTATATATATAGAAAACAAAAGATTTTATAATTACCATGGATGCAATCTTGATCGACCAATATAATAAATTTCATTACAATATTGATATCATACATAACATTACACAACGTGAAACTGAATTTCATTATTGGATGCACGTCATTTAAAGTTTAACTAAAAAGCAAAAAAAAAAAAATCATACGTAACGATAAACTAATTTCTATGTTTTAGTATCGCACTCGCTTATGTGTGTAACCATTCTTGCATAACGTTTTAGATAACGATAAGGAAAATGAATGTATAAAGCTTCCGGACGTTACACAACCAGTTTGATAATAAGCGATAATAAGCGAAAGTCATGTAGATTAAGGGTTTTGCGGATAACCACAAATAAGAATCTCGTGGATAATGTACAGACGGTCTTTAAATCCTTTAAAAATTAATATTTCTAATTTTTGATCCCAAAAATTTTATTGTTTTTTCTTTAAATTTTTTATATTTACAAATTTTTATTTTTAGGTTTTAATATGAAGATTTAAACTATTAATTTTTTTGATAATTATCATTCATCGCCAGTGCGATTCATCGCTAGTCATATGACTGACCAATCAGTGAAATCAAAACAATAAAAAAGCAACGAAGCATTAAGTTTAGGGTTAGGGCCAAGGAATTTTTTTTGTTAGAAGTTTCATAAGCAAAATTTTGAGTTTCTTTAAAAAAAATCGTAATTTTCACGTTACACCTGATCTTAAATTCTGATTGGTCGGTCATAGACTAGCGATTGGGGTGTTGCACATCATATGAGTGCTGCCAAGGGAAAAAGGCCGTTCGGACTTTCAATATATTTTGTGTACAGTTATCCATCTACGGAAAATTTACTATGATGATAAATTTTCCATAGACGGTTGACTGTACACAAAATATATTGAAAGTCCGAACGGTCTTTTTCCCTCATATAGGATTTAGATCTATGCGATTGGATGAAAAATTCAGGATCTAAGTCCAACTGTATATCAAGATCACATGATTTATAATATTCTTACAGCTATAAAAGATAATTAATTACCGGGTCATTTCAAATAACTCGAGTAACTTGGTTGACCCGGTTAACCGGTTATTCGACCAGTCAAATCAGTTTAAGTTTTACTCTTTTTCAGTATGTACCACTACTTTTAGAAGGTATATATTCGTCCTTTCGAACATAAATAGTTACACAACGTGATCGCGCTGAAATCAGGAATGGTAATAATCAGATAAATTGTTTCATTTGATGTATTTGAATTCGAATTGCTAATTCTAATCATAATAAAAATTCAGACAATAATGATTAATTAGTAATCACATAAAGTAGTTACGTTCTTTGTAGAATATTTACCAAAAAAAAAATGAAATGAATTACATAATACCTGGCCGATCTCACGAGATTCGTATTATTTTGAATATTAAAGTTATACAATAATCACCGGCTAAATTACAGTTGCTTTTGACTAACTATTAAATTTACTCAATTAGTCATACAAATCTTAAATACCGGTATTAATATCTCTATTAAAGGTCTCCTTATTATACTTATTTAATATAAAGATTATTAGATGTTATTTATACACCTCAAAATCATCATGAATGAATAATTTGAAAGATATTGTTTGATGGTAGTACTTAAAAATGTTATCTGCGCAATCGAATAAATAAACCAATCAGACGAATCTTCATCCGATCACCGGGTAGCAATATGCTATACGAGTTACGGTACGATTCCCCGAAAGTTATTTCCCCTACATGTCACTTACCCGACATCACACAGGGTGACTATTTGCCAAAAATATGTACCCTGCAACTAATCAAATGCTAAACCAACCCTATGTGATGTCGGGTAAATGACTTGTAGGGAAATAACTTTCTGGGAATTGAGCAACAACCGTTACACAAGTACTCCTATATCTCTAATTTTTTATACGATTTAAGGAACAGACTAGCACCGGACGAACTGGACACGTAATTTAACTGTCAACATCATTGCATCTCAGTAAATATAATCAACAAGTACTTTAATTAATATATAAATAATATAATTAGTTTTATTACTATAGTATAAATATTTATTAGAAAAGTTATATTCATAACACCATGTTATATAACACCATACTATTAAATATTTAATATACTAAAAACCTATACACTTACCCTAATATAGTTTACATAAATATTATATATAAGGTGTTATATAACGTAGGTGTTATGAATATAATATTTCTATTTATTAATATTTATTAATTTGATTAGACTCAAAAAGGTATACTTAAGCCCGACGAACCCGAAGAGGGTTCGCATAAATCTGAAGAGGGATTGCTTGAATCTGAAGTGTGATTGAAGTGAGAAGAGTGAGACGAGAGACCACACAAAGTAAGAATCACTTTGAGCTCGAAGTAGGTATAAATATAAGGTTTAAAGATTACGCGAATCGTGTAACAGAAACTTCGCAGAAACGCAAACATGTTACACAAATGTTGTTTTCGCAATAATTACCCCTGCACAACACGAAGGACTTTACCAGGGTACTATAGGCAATAGTTTTCAGCTTCAAGTAATATATTTCTGATCAACTTTGACAATGAATAGTCTGATTAAGGTACGATAACGTGAATAAATTTGATTTAGGAATTTTTTAACTTATCAATAGTTTTCATTTTCAGGATTTAAACGATTTAAATGTGCAGGCAATTTATTACGCGAAATTTTTTTTTTTTTTATGCGCGTATATACAATAAAAATAAATAGTGCACAAATCAAATATGGTTTCTTATATAGTACGAGATTCTAACAATAGCAAGTCATGCAGCGATTTTTTTATTTAAGTTTTTTTTTTTTTTCACGAAAATAACAAGGAAAATGTGTAATTTGTCTAAAAAAATATTTATTTAACTTTGAGAACAACATTTCTGGGATAACAAAGTTTCTAAATCTGGATACGCTCTAGTTTATAATGAATTGATTATTATATATATGATTCAAAAACCGGGTGACTACTATTAAATACTACAGGTTTAGCTCATCTCATTCTATTTGAAACAACATGCAAAAAAATTTTGATACCCCACCCGTGCCAGGAAATCCCTGAATTGTCAAAAAACAAAAAAACGTTGGGGTTGTTACAGAATATTAAAGGGTTTAATGAAAAAAAAGATCTTTTTTTTTAAAAAAAAAAAAAAGTTAACGTTGACGAATTGAAATTCCAAATAAGGATGTTGATGCGCAAACATGAGAAAACTGTCTTTAATTCATTTACGTGCGACTTATGAAATCGTCTTTTTTATTGTACAATGTGACATCAAAAAAAATTTTTATATAAAAATATATCATTCTCATTTCTGAATTATTGTTGATACTTAATGTATTATCCAAATTTCGAGAAAGGTACGAGTACATTGCCTTCATAATAAAGGTGAACTTTTATTATCTTGACTTAAATAATTATACCAATAATTTTTTTTTATATTGATTGCCTAGTTCAAGCTTGAACTTTTCTTTATTCGACCGCGGTTGAACGATATCGACCATGATATAACCTTCCTTCGAAGTGGTAATTAACCTTTTCATCTAATTCAATTTAAATATATTTATAAAGCTAGTTAGTGATATTAATTGGTCCCAAGAAATTTTTTCAGCAAGAAATGAATTTTTTCAATGCTTTTCTATGTTTGCAATGATTTTTATCTATTTTATCTTTAGCTACCATTACTTAATAATACCATAGAACGCTGACCAAAATATCCAGATGTCAAAGATTGCAATACTCTTATGATATAAAATAACGTGACGTTGATACTTTGGTCAGCGCTTTAGAGTAAATTTTGTCTGTGTCTAAACAATTGTCACGCTTTACGACAATTATTCTTTTTAAGTTGTTAAATGAACCTATCTTATGGTCATTTTTTCAGGACATTTTGACTTGGAATTCGTAACGTTTATTTTAATTCGAGGACCGATTAATATCTAATGTGGCCAAGTAAAGCCTTTTTTTCTTTGCCTATAACTATATATATTTAAAATTTCATAGAAGGTAGAACTAATTTTAATATATACGTAAACAGGTCAATTTTTATTTTTTTGTAAATGCTGATTTATTAGATTTATTATGCTGAATATACGTTTAACATTTATAGTCATGAATAACGAGAATCGTGCGATTTTATGAATCAGGTACATTTGTTTGTTTAAATTTTATAAACAATTCAAAAAATACTAATTATATCTTACCAATAGATAATTCGAATATCGGTACAGCAAAAAAAAAAAAAAAAAAAAAAAAAAAAAAATAAGATGCACTCTAAATCACGGAAAAAAATTTTGTCGAAAAATTTACATCTAAGCTAACATAACATTCTTTTCCCTCGAACCAACCATTCCATTATTTTTTTTTATTTTGTTCTACTATATGTTTATAAAGCTTTGTGGACTATGTTGTATGTTAAGTGCGTAGCTTTTCTTTTTTACTTAGTCTTTGACATTATGTCAAAGCATATGAAATTTTATTAATAAGCTTACTTTATATAATTGATAATTGGTAGTGTATCTTTACACTATTTTTTATTTTTTTTGTTTATTGATTAAACAGATAAAGTTCTTTTTAAAGGTTTCCTACTTACCTTTATATGTTAAAATTCAAACCAAACCGATACAAATCATTACTTTAATTAGAGATGTGTAATACTCACACAAAAGTATATTTTAGATTTTACATTCATTTATTTGATTTGATATTTTGATAAAAAGATCAAACAATATTGAATTGAATAATTTGTCCTATTTGCGTAGTTATAAAAGCTACGTATAAATAATATTGATATGGAAAATTATGTTTAATGCGAATTCACATTTATTCACATGCAGATAGGCTAAATCATCAATTAGTATAGTTATGTATTATAGCTAAGCACTCAAACAATATCTTTGAAAAGTATCTTTGAGTCCCCTATTAATTACTTACATAAATACTGTATATCATATTGAAGATGCCTCAAAATTATATATAATCATGATTGGTCAAAAGTTTAAATGTCAAGAAATATTTAATTTAGCAAAGGTCCAATAACCTTAATTTTTAATTTGTTATTCAGCATTAAAAGAGCGAAGTCCGAGTATCAGTGTGAAAAAATTTTGCCAATTATGTATGATGTAGGAGTATAACCCAAAAATTTTGCACACTCTGTATCCTAAACAAATTTGGGTATTATCGTAATCATATAAACATACTGTATACTGTAGTGACATCAATTTTATTGTTAGTCATTAACGGAATCCCTTAAATGAATAAATAAATTGATTTTGGGGATTCTTAATAAATGGGATCGACCCTGTTTAGGTGTGGGAACTGGAGAATATCTACTTACAGTGAATTAAACTGCGCCACATGACCATATAGTAGATTCCGTTTTTAGTGATACACTAAATATAATAAATGTTTTGTTAGAATCTAAAGTTCGGCAAAAATCCCATAAATTACCAAAAGCGTCTAAGGATGCCGAAGCATTGGGATATACCTCTAGTCCGGTAACCGGATATATTGACGATCCTAAACTAAAGCACATGCAATATTGCAACTAACATCGAAGAAGATAGAAATATATATGCAAATTGGAATGTCGACGTGTTGTGTGGAGTTACTGAACGGAGACAAATAAACTTCGTCGCCTGCAGAGCAAATCAGCTATTTCAGGAATAAAAATTTATATCTGATACAAAGAAAAAATAGAAATAGAAATAATAATGAAGAGCCTTATTTCCTGAATGAGTTCTCCAAGAAATTCTAGTAATATCATAATGATAAAGTGCAGGAGCACGATTTTCGTCGTATAAAAAGTTGAACTTTATGAATTATTTAACATATGAGAATAATAGAAGTTAGCACGTGACCACGTACTGCTAATACAAGAATGGATTCATATAATAAAGAATGCAAATTTATATTCTTGATATTTAGAATAATTTATATATTTATATCAAAAAAGGTAAAGCCATATCAATATGTTAATCTTCAGTACAAACCTCTTTCATAAATATCGAGTAATATTAAAGTAAATGTAAATAATAAAATATTACGAACACGTTATGAGATAAGCTTCATAATGAAAAGTGCATGCGTGGCAGATCGACTGCTATATAAATTATTAAATGTAAACTATATGTTAGGGCTAATTTTGATTGTGATCTAAATAGTAGAATCGATTACTTTTAACTCTAGTCATCATTTGACCAGATAAAAAACTGAATTTGGCCAAATGATCTACAAATTTTGACCAGAGTTATGAATAATCGGTTCTATTTAGGTTGTTAAGTCACCGTAAATCTATGTGTATAGGATGTGAGCAATCATGGTTGTGACAAATAAACATTTGTTATATTTTATACAGCCAATTCTTATTCGTCACTTACGATTAGTCACTTAAATATGAACTTCACAAGTTCAAATATTTGAAGATATAATCAATCATAAGTAACGAATAAGTATTGGCTATATAAAAATATATAGCAAATATTTATTTGTCACAATATAATTGTTTATACCCTATACGTATACTGAGATCAATATCTTATCAAATTCAGCTTAATACAGACCAAACTTCTGTAATAAGCTACTTCAAAAATATATTGCAACACTAGGTTTAAGTTAGGTTTAGATTAAGCTAAATATTATAGAAGTATAATATATAATATCTATATAATATTTAACTTAACTTAAACCTAATCTAAATCTAATCTAAATTTAGTTTAAACCTAAATATATTATAATATATTTAGGTTTATATTAGGTTTAAGTTAGGTTTAAGTTAAATATTATATAGATATTATATATTATATTTCTATAATATTTAGCTTAATCTAAATCTAACCTAAATCTAACTTAAATTTAGTATTTTTTTTAACCTTTTTGGCAAGTCATGCCAATATTTTATTTGCAATAAATTTTGTACTTGACAAAAATATTAGAATACATATTTACTCATAATATATCTAACTATGCAATTTTTTAAGTATTAACTTACCTAGTTACTCTAAAGGTATCTATGTACGATTTGCTATAGCAAGTCTTTTTTTTTATCATTACTATCTAATATATTAAAAAAATAATAATAAATCCTTAAGTGGATACCGCAGTTCATTATGACTTCTTATCTATACAATAGATTACTACCAAACTGATAATAGTTTTTTGTATAGTGAAAAAGATAAATAAAAATTATATATATAACAAAAAATACAAATATCATATATCATATAATATAGTTGAATAGAAGAAACCTGCTAACAGATAAAAATTTCTAAACAACAAATAGATAAAAGAAAAAAAACAAAGTAAGGTTTTATTACCAAAGTAAAAGACTAGATAAAAATTGTATATATATAATATCTAAGTTATTCTTTAAATTCTCAAAGGAGTAAAGTACTGTCTTACAGAGAGAATATTATTAATATAGATTTCCTATAATATGTATTAGGCTTAACACATGTTTTTTGTTTGTATATAGCATAGGAAACAACAGACTAATATCTAATAGTGTTTGTCAATGCATGTTGTAGATCTTTTGAAGAGAATAAGTCAAATCCTCCAAAAAATACCAAGCAATTTAGAGAAAAAATCCAAAAGATGAGATCATAGAAGGCTATTTCTAAGAGAGTAAAATTTTGCTACTTGTTTTCTTATTAAACAATACAAATATATATTATATCTAGCTATCCTCATGCTAGCAGGCTACTAGTGAGTATCATTTAAAATAACAAAGATATTTGACAATTTTTCTTGCTTTTGCTACTACTTTTTCTATAGTACTCAAGAATTACTTCTAGATAATACAACTAAAAAGAGCTTGCAAGAAAGGTATTCATCCACAATATGTCATAGAATACTTAGAAAAGAATATTGTTATTTGTATAATAAAAAAATGTTTTCGCAGGTCAGGTTTTCTTTTCAGGAAAAAGTAGTCAGAGGATTAATAGAAAGAATTGATTTTATTAATGACTTAAATCTAGTATTAAATATATTTTTGAGATAGCTTATATAAGAAAAATTAGTAGAAAAATAATAAAATTTTTTTAAATAAATATTTTTTCAAGTTTAAAATAAAATATTTTAATTAATTTATTATTTCTTATTTCAGTTTTTTATATCTTTTTTTTTTTTTTAATATTATTAGTCTATATATTTTGCTTAAAAATTTCTATTATATATACTTATTCAAACAATTTAATTATATACTAACTTACTTTATATAGCTTTATAGATAACTATAAATTATTTCTTAAACTTAATTTAAAAATCTATAAATAACTATAACTACTTATTATACTAAATATATAAACCAAGAAACTTAATCCGTACATCACTTGTACCAAATTTAACCAAAAAAATTTTTCAAAAAAATCAAAATTTCTCAACATTTTATTAATTAAACTGAGTAAGTGCTCTTAAGTAAACTTACTCAGCACTAGATTTTACATCTAAAC